GAGGACCAGGTAGCAGGCCAAAATGGCTGTGAATTCGCAAGTACCCACACTGCAGTCGCGTCACGCCACGACATCGTCAAACGTCTCCGCGACGTTGGGGCTGCCCGTGCCGACCGCCGAACCAGCAACCCATCGCAATCGTCGGGCACAATGCCGCATGACCTCTTCCACGTGACGTGGGCGAGGGGCCGTCGAAGGAGACGCGGGACCAATGCTGGGGGTGAGTGCCCTCCATCCAGGGGACGCCCGGCCGGCAAGGCGTCTTGGCCGCGCAAGCGGCGCACCCCGGGGCGAGTCCTGGCCCCCGAGCAGAGGGGTGTGCCCCGCGGCTGGGGGCCACGGCGAGAGCCCGTTCAGCCGAGAAGCCAACCGAGGCGGCACTTGCCGGCACCGGCCCCGGCGCCCCCGGGGGGGCGCCGAGGGCCGAGGAGAAGTGCCAGCGGAGGCAGGGAGCGACGGGGGCCGAGGGACGAGGTCGCACTGTGGGCGGGCCTGGGCACTTTCCGCGGGGGGACAGCCGTATGGGGAGGGACGGGCCTGGAGGGACCAGAGAAGCGACTAACCGTCGCGCAAGCCAGAGATCACGAGGCGAAGGAGCGCGGGGGACGGGGGCGCGGGGGCGGACGGAGGGCGGGCGTGAGGACGCAGCTAACAGCCGCAGAAACTGCGACGAGCCCGTGGGGGGCGGGGACACGGGGGCGGGGGGGGGCGGGCGCGGGGCGGCGGCAGCAGCCGCGGAGAGGACCAGAGACAGAGAGTGCACGGGGACGGGGGCCAGGGGGCGGACGGGGGGCGGGCGAGGGGGCCCAGCGACCAGTCGCAGAGGTAGAGGCGAACGCAGCTACGCAGAGTGAGCGTCGTAAGCCGAGGGGAACGCGGGGGGCGGAGGACTGGGAGCGGACGGGGGGCGGAAGCCAGGCGGCGGGGGCCGCACCCAGCAGAAGGGACAGGGGGCGCGGGAGCGAGGGGGGGGGGGCTCATCAAAATCCCCCCCGGGGGCGTTCTGAAAAGGATTTCGGGGCGAATCCCACCATAACGACGAGGGCCTCCCCGGAGGCCCAAAAGGGCGGAAACGAGAGAGACGGGTGGCGTATCGGTACCCTTTCCTCCTCTGACCCTACTGAGCCCAGGGCGGCCTTTATTTCAGCATCCTGACTGCAGGAGGAGAAGCTGTCTGGCGAGGGGCGCTGAGACGGCAGGTCCCCCTGCAATCGGATCGGAAACTCAAACTCGGACTGGAATCGGAATCGGAAAAAAGACATCGAAATCGGATCGTGTCTGATCGGAACCAGCCCCTCCGAGGGGCGGGGTCGCGTCAGGGGGGGGGCTCCTCGGTGCTCACGTGGGTGGGGGGGTCCAGGTCGGGCCGTCGTCGTCGTCATCGTCGTCGTCGTCGTCGTCGTCGTCGCCGTCGTCGGCCGTCGTCGTCGTCGTCGTCGTCGTCGTAGTCAGGGAGGGGGGCTCCTCGGTGCTCACGCGGGCGGGAGGGGGGGCCAGAGCGGGCCGTCGGGCGGGGTGGCACGGGTAGGTGAAGAAGGAGGAGCAGGAGGAGGAGGAAGTGGATTCGGTTTAGAGCATGATCCCCAGGACTGATGCTCAGGGCCGTCCCCTGAGGGCTGGTGGGGGCGCCACACCCGCGACCAGCGGAGCAGGAGGAGGAGGAGGAGAAGGAGGAGGAGGGGGAGGAGGAGGAGGAGGAGGAGGAGGAGGAGGAGAAGGGGGAGGAGGAGGAGTTGGAGGAGGAGGAGGAGGAGGAGGACCAGTGTAAATCCAAGAGTCATCAGGCGAAACGCCAGGGAGAAGTTACGTATAGGGAAAGGAAATAAATAGAGAAGGAGGAGAAGGAGGAGGACCAGTGTAAACCCAAAAGCCACCAACGATGTTGGAATAAGCCCTCACCCCAAGCTCCCTCTTCAAAGGCCCTTCAACGATTCGTTCCCATTGAGGGAACTGCCTCGTTGGAAGACAACCGTTTGAAGACCCTGAAGCATGCCAAATGGATTCCAACGCCCCAGATCAACCTGACTGTTAAGTCTTGGCGATCCTGAATCGTCCCAGAACGCCATGACTGGGACGTCAACACAAAGAACCAACGAAACTGCTGCAACCGCATAATCCTAAATCCTTCCAAAACAACATTCCTGGCACGTTGATGATGGGAATCCGTGAAACTCTTGAACATGTTGCAAACGAATGTGCGCGGCGCTAAGGCGAGAACCACATCTTGAAAAAGAACCGCCCTCAATCCGTGAAACCCTTGCAAATTGTTAAAGCGAATGTGCGCCGCGCTAAGAGAGCCACATGTTGAAAACGACGCGCCCTCAATCCGTGAAACTCTTGCAAATTGTGAAAACGAATGTGCGCCGCGCTAAGGCGAGAGCCATATTTTGAAAACGACACACCCTCAATCCGTGAAACTCTTGCAACGTTTTAAAACGAATGTGCGCCGCGCCAAGGAGGAGGAGGAGGAGGAGGAGGAGGAGGAGGAGGAGGATTGGGCCCTGTGGAGCTGCTCGGGGCCAGGCCGATCCACGAAATCCGCGCGGACCTCCGCAAGTTTGTGGTTATCTCCCCTTTCTCTCTTCGGCCAAGAACGTGCACCTTCCCAGACTGTCTGGGGGGTCCAGCGCCGATCCACGGAATCCGCGCGGAGCCCGGAAAGCTTGTGGATATCTCCCGTTTCTCTCTTCGGCCATGATCGGGCACCTTCCCAGGCTGTCTGGGGGGCCAGGGAAGGTGGTGGTGGTGGTGGTACGGACAAGGGGCTGGGCCTCTGCAGGACGGTACAGCAATCGTGCTGCCCAGAGGGAATGCGGAACAAGGAATGAGAAGGGCTCGTCTGGCCACGGCGAGCCTGGGTCACGGATATGGGACGCAGAAGGACACGCTGGCAGTCTGCGCTGATCTTGCAGGTGCACGTCCCACACGAACACATCGTACACAAAAAGACCATAGCATATCGTTTCCCGAGCGTCATGACCAGAAAGCGCCAGCCGCGGAGCTCATGCTATGAGATTTCTGGGCGTGCGCTCTTGCAGGGCCGACGCGCACGTAGCAGCAATGCGTTTGGGGAACAGCCCGGAAATCAGAGCCCCTCCTGAACCCAAAGTGGTCCTCGCTTCAGCGTCTTGCCTACAGTATCATCCACGCCATCTCGTCCCTGCTGCATAGATCGGGGGGCGACAGCAAGGCGAACTTTTCAGCGCTCGCAAGAAGCCAAGGAGCGCTCGGCCCTGTCTGCAGTGCGGATCCCGTGCCCAAACTGCGTTCTGAAAGCCCCAGGCTGGAAACGGGCCCCCGAGACCCAAACTTGAAGAAAATCTGCTGTCATCGAGGCTAAATATGGGGGGAATGGCTGAGGAGAGCGCCCAGACAAAAACCCAAAAGGAGGATAGTGGGCGGGGGAGGGGGCAAGGTCCCCTTCCTCGCTAACCCAAGGTAAGTGCCACCCTGGGCGAGGACATAATTCGACATGCTGGACCGTATCATCACTGCATCCTCCTCCTCCTCCTCCTCCTCCTCCTCCTCCTCCTGCTCCATCCCCTCTTCTCGTGTTCCTCCCCCTCTTCCTCCTTCTCCTCCTCCCTAGCCTCCTTCTCCTCCTCCCTAGCCTCCTTCTCCTCCTCCTCCTCCTCCTCATCCTCCTCCTCCTCTCCTCCTCCTCTCCTCATCCCATCATCATCATCATCATCATCATCATCATCATCATCATCATCATCATCATCATCATCATCATCATCATCATCATATCATCATCATCATCATCATCATCATCATCATCATCATCATCATCATCAACATCATCATCATCATCATCATCATCATCATCATCATCATCATCATTATCAGCATCAGCATCATCATCATCATCAACATCAGCATCATCATCATCATCATCATCATCATCATCATCATCATCATCATCATCATCATCATCATCATCATCATCATCATCATCATCATCATTCCTTCTTCCTCATCCTTATCCTCCTCCTCCTCCTCCTCCTCCTCCTCCTCATTCCTCATTCCTCCTCCCTCCTCCCTCCTTCCGTCATGTAGCAAAGGAGCATGTGTTCGCGCCTACGTACGTGTTCCAAGCGAAGAAGGCGCCCCACACGGAGATGACCTGGCCACGATCGCTCCCCGCTGGCATCAACCACCCTGCACTCCCAAAGGCAGAAGCAAGCATCAGTCGGGGGCGCGCAAACATGAATTAGCGATCCATGGATTTAGCGCGCCGTCGCCAAATCCCTGGATCGGGGGAGGTGCCCTCCCCAAAATGTGGCCGGTGCCGCCTCGCCCAGCGGCGGAAATACGCGATTTCCCATGGAAACGGGACCCGTCGCTAATCCACGCCCCCTTAATCCATGTTTGCGATCGCCTGAATCAGGGAATGTCCGCTGTTCGGCGAGCGTTGCAGCAGCTGCAGGAGAACGAGGACGAGATGTAAAGGGGCAGCTCTCGGCGGTTCAAAGATGAAGCTCCGAGGGATGGGGCTCTGAAGGTAGCAAGTGGATCACAAGTTGAACAGTCACTGCTTGAGGTGTTTGTCCTTAGGGCCCCATCCCTCACGGCCCCAACTTTGAACCCCCGAAGCTTCCCTCACCTTCCACACCCTCCCCTCCTCCATCCCCTCCTGGCTCCTGATTGGCGAACTCATCCTCCCCAACTCGGGTGGCCGCCGACCCGAGTGCATGATCCACCCCCCCCCCATCCCTGTCAGAAAACAATGACAAGTTGCACGTGGCGGCACAGACAGTATGCGCCCCCGCCCCCTCCCAACCATCCTTGGCAACGAGAGGTAAACATCGCGTCACTCCTGAATTGCTAACAAAAACGTGATGCTGAAGTACGTAGGCTGGACAGAATGCGCCACCCCATCCCCAACCCACCACCACGACCGCTCCTGCCAAATACCAATGCGCAGCACACATCGCGTCGACTAGTGCGCTTAGCGTCGACGTTGGTTATCGTATGATGTTCGCGTCCTGGCGACCGCTGTACATGCTGAACATCGGCCCAACTTGCCGCTCCTATATTAAAGCGGGAAAACGGAAAGTGAGAGCGATGTGTCTCAAGGGCGTGGGCCAGGCAGCTCCCATGCAACTCCTTCGTGAAGGCAAAACGTGCCTGTAAAAAGACCGAGAATCAAGGTCATAGGGGGAAACGGAGAGGGGGTAACAAAGTGCTGAGCGGATCACCCCAACTACCGATATAGCAATGTGGCACGGAGGTGTTGCTACGGCCGACAGAGCACCCGTTTCTGTGGCGATCGTTGTTTGCGATCCCGGGGTCACCGAAATCAACTCGATTTGGGCCATCGGCTGGTCTGCCGGGCCTCTGCGAAGTGGTACATAAGCCTCCCGACGTGTCGAGCCCATCTTGCTCCCGTTTACTGGGCCAAATCCCTGCGCAGCATAGTAGGTTGCCAGTGCGGCACGCAATGCGCCGAAATGATTCATGACCGAAAGGCCTTGCTGCACTGATCTTGATGGACGTGGCCATGACGCTTGCTCAGACATGCATGCTCTCTCATCCAGAGAGCTGTTTCTGCGGGTTGCGTTGAGATCGTCGCCAATAATCTTCTGATACGTCGTAACGGCATTCTCGATCAAACGCTCATCAAAAGTAGCATCTAAACCCGCAGTGCCCAGTGCACTGCATGCTCATGGAGAGCATACCTTTCCAATGGTGAGCATCATAGCTTCTAATCGGGTACAAGTATCAGCACGTCGTTTGAATTCAGCAAACTAGAATACACAAGCTCGCCGCCCAAGCAATGTACAAATGGTCTGCTACTTAGGGTCATCCGCTAAACGGCCTGTGCCACCCCGTGCCAACATGCCAGCATTTTCGGCCTGCCTCATCGACATCTTGAGTTACGAAACCGACCAATAATTCTGCTGGGGTTCGTCCCGCAACTAATTCGGCCGACGGGATGCGACGGGCGTGACCGACGCTGCCGAGGAGGAGAAGGAGGTGGACTGGGGGGTAGCGGAAATGGCGGAAAGACAAACGAAAGGACGCGGAATCGGGGGACGAGTGCACGGACGCGGGGTGTGAGCCGCCCAACCTCGGCGCGATCGCCCGAGCACACTCGCCGAGGAGAGGGAATCCTGCCTCCCCATCCCGCGCCTCCTCCTCCTCCTCCTCCTCCTCCTCCTCCTCCTCCTCCTCCTCCTCATCATCATCATCATCATCATCATCATCATCATCATCATCATCATCATCATCATCATCATCATCATCATCATCTCATCATCATCATCATCATCATCATCATCATCATCATCATCATCATCATCATCATCATCATCCATCACATCATCACCATCATCATCATCATCATCATCATCATCATCATCATCATCATCATCATCATCATCATCACAATCATCATCATCATCATCACATCATCATCACATCATCATCAACATCATCATATCATCATCATCAATCAGCATCAATCATCATCATCATCATCATCGGTCAATCGTCATCGGACATCGTCCATCATCATCATCATCATCATCATCATCATCATCATCATCATCATCATCATCATCATCATCATCATCATCATCATCAACTTCCTTTTCCTCCACCACCACCACCCAACCTCCCTCCCCTCTCCCTGCTCCGCCTTTTTCTCCTCCTCCTCCTCCTCATCCTCCGCCTCCTCCTTCTCCTTCTCCTCCCCCCCACTCGCCCCCCCCTGCTCGTCCTCCCCCCTCGCGCCCTCCCCCCTCGAACCCATCCCCTGCTCCTTCGCCTCCAGTTTCCTTCCTACCCCACACGCACACACTCTCACACAAAAAACACACACACACACTCTCACACACATAGCACACAACACACACACACACACACACACACACACACACACACACACATCACATGAAAGAATGCACCACGCGCGCGCGCGCGCGCGCGCGCAGGCCAACCATCTCTTCCCCTCCCCTCCTCATCCCCCCAACTCCCCCCTCTCCTTGCCGCCCCCCCCCCCCCCCCCAAACACACTCCACCTCCCCCCCCCCTCCCCCCCTCATCTCCCTCCCATTTACCCCTGGGGAAACCAAAGATGTACTGATACCGCTTCACCCCAGACCTCTCCCAGGGTGCGTTCTGACCAGAATTTCGAAACGTCTCCAGCGGTGGCCACGAGAGCCTTCCAGGAGGCCCAAACATGGGAAAACGCGGGAAGGGTAGCAGGATGCGTCCCTTTTCCACCTCTGAATCCCGCCCCCCTCTCTCTCATCCCTCTCCCTCCTCTCCTCCCTCCTCCCCCCCCCTCCCTCCTAGTCCCCCCCGCCTCCCCCATCCCTCCCTCCTCCTCTGAATCCCTGACCCCTCCCTGCTCATCCCTCCTCCTGCTCAACGGACGGCCCACAGCAGGGCGGGCGCCCACGACCAGGAGGACGAGCATGCCCACGCAGGCGTGCTGGCGCCGCTCGAAGGCCTGCAGCCTGGCAGGCCGCCGGGGAAGCCACCGCGCCGAGGGTGAGAGGGGGGAGTCCCCCTCATCCCGCCCATCCTCGTCTTCCTCGTCGGAGTCCTCCTCCTCTCCTCCTCCTCCTCCTCCATCATCATCATCAGCAGCAGCAGCATCAGCATCAGCATCAGCATCATCATCATCATCATCATCATCATCATCATCATCATCATATCATCATCATCATCATCATCATCATCATCATCATCATCATCATCATCATCATCATCATCTCATCATCATCTCATCATCATCATCATCATCATCATCATCATCATCATCATCATCATCATCATCATCATCATCATCATCATCATCATCATCATCATCATCATCATCATCAGCATCATCAGCATCATCATCTCATAATAATCAGCATCATCATCACCATCATCATCATCATCATCATCATCATCATCATCATCATCATCATCATCATCATCATCATCATCATCATCATCCTCTTCCTCTTCCTCCTCCTCCTCCTCCTCGTCCTCCTCCTCCTACTCGTCCTCCTCCTCCTCCTCGTCCTCCTCCTCCTCCTCCTTCTCCTCCTCCTCCGTCCCCCTATCCTCATCACCACCACCACCACCATCGTCATCGCCATCGCCATCGCCGTTGCACATATCATGAGCACAAATGGCATCAGCACCCGCACCGTCGGCAACGATATCGTCACCATCACCATCACAATCACGTTCTCCATCACGATCAGATTCGACATCGCCTCCCCAACAAGCGTCCTCGTCTCGTCTTCCTCGCCATCAACATCAGCATCATCATCAGCACCATCATCATCATCATGACCGTCACCAGCATCATCATCAATAGCAGCAACCGCATCACCGGCATCACCATCATTATAATCGGCAGCAGCAGCATCACACCCTCATCACTATCCACATCCTCATCCTCATCAGCATCATCCTCATCATCGCCACCAGCTCCAGCATCGCCACCACCATCGTCATCATCATCAGCAGCATCATCACCACCATCATCAGCAGCAGCATCATCCGCATCATTATCAGCAGCATAGCCATCCTCGTCATCAGCAGCAGCGTCACATCATCAAGAATCAACAATCGCCAGCCTCACCCTCATCCTGCTCACCACCACTAGCAACGTCCGCATAATCGTTATCATCAGCAGCATCGGATTCAGCATCATCAACAACAAGAGCAACCACTATAGCAATCACAACATCAACAGCAGCAACAACAACTACAAAAACAGCAGCAAAAGCAGCAGCAGCAACAAAAACAATACAAACAACAACAACCACAAAACCTTGGCGCGGACGCCAAACGGCTCGGCGCGTCGCACCGCGACGCTGGGCGCGGCGCTCGACCCCGGCCACGCGCGACGGTGCCCCGAGCCGACGGCGGCTCGGGCACTTCCCTACGTCGTCGGCCTAGCCGAGCGCCCAGTGCGAACACCCCAAACCGAATGGCCAAAAAGGGACCGGTGCGCGGGCAAAAGCCGCACCGCAGGTGCCGCTCGCCGAGCGCGGCGGGACGCTCCGACCAACCGCGCGCGCGAGACGCCCCTCCCAATCGTCGGCGGCGCACACGCCCCCTCGCGAGCTCGCCCATGCAAGCAGGGCGGACTGCGCGACGCCTCGCACCCAACGCTTGGGCGCGCGTCGCCCCGCGCCGCTGCACGTCGCGCGGCGCCCCCTCCCGTTCGCCCAAGCATGGGGGCTGGGTCGGGGGCGCCCGCCCCGCGGTTTCGTGACCGCGATTCAACGTTGCACGATGATCGCCCAGCACAAAACCTTGGCGCGGACGCCAAACGGCTCGGCGCGTCGCACCACGACGTTGGGCGCGGCGCTCGACCCTGGCCGCGCGCAACGGCGCCCCGTGCCGACGGTGGCTCGGGAACTCCCCTGCGTCGTCGGCCTAGCCGAGCGCCCAGTGCGAACGCCCACTGCCACGGAGCGCTGGGCGCTCGGCGGGAGGCCCAGCCGCGCGCGCCACGCGCGCGCAGGCGCAGACCCAATGCACGCGCGCCGCCGGAGCGCCAGCGCGCGCGCTCCACCAGGCGTGAAGCCCAGTCTCTTTTCTTCACGCATCGCTGTCGGAAGAGCAACTGTCACTGACCTTGAGAGCAGCGCCCCGCTCGAGACTCCACGGGCACATAATCCACGAAGGCAGCCGCCCGCGCGAATCATCTCGGCCAGGCCGGCCCCGCGCTCGACTAAGTCGAGCGCGCGTCCGCGGCGGAGCGCCTTCGCGTCGAATTCCCCCGGGCGCGCTGCGCCCACCGCCCTGACCGCAATCCGGATGGCGGCCACGGCGTCCGCGGGAGAGCCCGCGCGCCTACGCCCGCTTTCTCGAAGAAAGCACCGAGGACGCGAACTGGACTCGCGCCTTTGCCGCCCTCGGTGCGGCACCACCACTTGCGCCAAATTATCGCGGGCCGCTCCGAATACTTGCGCCGCTGCAATGGCAAACCTGACCTCTGCTGAGAGGCACACCGATGCCTGGGTCTGCTCGTCGATTGCCGAGCCATCGAAGACAGCGGGCAAGCCCTCACTTGTTAGGCGCAACAGAAGCGCGCATCCGAAACACATGAGCATCGCCACGTCTCCTCCGACGGACGCGGCCACCGGGCCTGGGATGCTCGCTTCAACGATTCTGGACAGGAGGGCGTGCTGCAAAAAACGCTTGACTCTCGGGGGCGTCGGGCACCTCTTCGCGACGCCCAATCGCGCCCGCTTCACGGAGTGATCATCGAAGGCGGCCGTCGACGCCAATAACAGCTCGGATGCCGCGCGCCAGCGCCCGCAGTAATTAGCGAACGCGCCGATCACGCGGAACAGCGCACCGGCGATCTGGAGGTCCTCCGCGCCGATGGGAAAGGGGGAATCCCGCCAAGGACGCACTCTGAGAAGCGTAACCGCCATAGCACTGCGGACGCCCAGCTCTGCACTGATCGAGGGCAACTGCCAAACGCCGCATCCAAGCGCGCCCTCGCGGCGAAGCGCCGGCGTTCGGCGGGCCCATTACAGCGACGCCGTCGAGGGCACGTCGCGGCCTCTCACTGGGCGCGCCCAGTTGGCTCGGGCACGAAACAGCATACTCAACCACGGCCTCGACCGCCCCCCGAGCTCGCGAGCCCTCCACAGGATCGCCTTGCGCGTCACCAGGGCAAAAAACCGCGCACAACTGTTCTGGCGCCGTCGCCCCAGCATCGCCCCCACGCCTCGGCCGCCAACCTGGCGGCGGCCCCGGCGGAGGCCGCGGGCGCACTGCGACGCCCTCACCAACGCCGGCGGGCGGAGGGCCGGGGGGGGGGGCATGGCCTCGGGCGATCCTGCCTTTCACCATGCGCCGCCAGGGCCCCGGCGACCGGGGGGCGCGCGGGCGGCGCTGCTTCTGCTTCGTGGCAACGCTTGCGTCGACCGAAAGAGAAACCCTCGAGAGCCGGCATGCCCCTCCGCATCCTCGCTTCGTTGATGGCCCTGCGCGCGGCCACAGCGCGCGGCGGTTAGCGGCCCACGGACGCGCCGCCTGGTTGCTACATCGCTGCTGTGTGGTGATAGTTGAGGCCGACTGAAGTCGGCGTCGACATCTGCCAAATGCCCCCAGTGAAGCGCATCCTGCGATTTAAGATACGCGACAAGCTCGACGTGAAAGGCAAGCGGCTGGCACGGCGAATCGAACACACGAAGCCAATGGGCGAAGATCGACGCGCCCGACATCTCCCCGCGCGTCTCCGCGCTGCGAGGCTCGCGCGGGAAAGCACACGACGCACGTGCCCACGCGCCACCCAACCGAAGCAGGCAGCAGCACTCAGCGGGCCCCAGCGAGGGAGGCCCACTGCTGAGGGGCGTAGCACCGATCGTCCAGCGTCGGTTCTACATAAGTCGCGTCTAAGCGGCGCACCAGGCCGCAATCTTCCCGCGATGGCGGATCTGCGATATTCGAAGCCGAGGGCACCCGATGGACCCACACGGACGCCGAGACTTCGGCAGCCAATGCCCCGCGCACGAGGCAGGCGCGGTCAAAATGGCACGCGGGTCCTCGCGCCACCGCCAGCTCTGCTCCGCGGATGTCTGAATAACAAAACAAATCTAGCGCCGCGTTCGACGAAAGATGCCTGATTGACGACATGGCCACAGCGATGGCCAATAGCTCCAGGCCCATAATCTGATTGTCGCCGCGCTGCCCGAACAGCCGCAACACCGCGGCGCCCGGCGCCCAATCTGCGTACCACGCGCGGTCGTGCGCGAACAGCACCGCCGCCACACGCGGCGGGGCGTTCCGCGCATCGGCAAACAAATGCGCCGCGCCCAGAGGGCGGGCCGTCCACTCCGCCACTTCGTGGACGCCCGCATCCAGCACTTCGCGCCACCACTCTAACGCTATGCCCAGCGGAGTCTTGACGCGAGAGCCGCAGCCGCGCTGCTGCGCGAACAACGGTCGCAGAAAAGATCTGCCCAGCCGCCTGAACAGCGATTGACTGGCCCAGGATAGCGCCCCGGCCAGCTTCGACGCCGCGCCCGGCTCGAGTTTTCCTGATTCGAGCGCGCGAGCAATCGCGCCAGCCTGCTCGCGCGCCTCGCCCTCCTACGGGGCGCAATGGATGCCCGCGCCGGAGAAAGCGAAGTGAACCCCCAGCAAGACAAGCTCGTTGCCCCACTCGAGCTCGCCGCTGGCAATACTGCCGCGCGAAAACTTCCATGGCATGCGCTGCCGATTTCGCGGCGTCAGGGGCAAAATAATCGTCGACATGTCGCCCCGCGCGGATCCGCAGCAGACGCCGCTCTGCGCGCCGAAAGAGGGCGGCGACTCGGCCCCGATGGGAGGACAACGACTATACAGATACACCTTTCCTGCTTCGATGGAATTTGCCAACCTCATCGTGTTTCTCGCGCCGCGTGAATGCATGCGCGCGGCTGCGTACGTGCAGACGCGCATACGCGAGCTCGCATTCAATCGCCCACCAGGAATGAGCCGGATTCCGCGG